TGCGTTTGCATAGACAAGTGAGTGCATCTAGTGCTTCATCAGCTTGTTGAAACATTTCAGTTGGGATTCCTTTTGTTCCTGAAGACTTGTTTTTCACAAAAAATTTCTATGCAGCTTGGACTTTTTCCTTTTGTCAATTGGTTCTTGTTTATATGTTTCTCTTTTAAATGATTGAACATCCACCAAAACGTTCTGCTACCCTGACCCTATGTATTCTTCTTTGATGCTTCCTTGATCACTCAATATTTTACCCATAAAATTCCTCAATATTTCAACTCAAGGCTTGACATTTTTCTTTATCTCTTTAAACATGAATTATCTTGAGCATGTTCTTCTTCTTCTTCTTTTTTTTTGCTTTCTAACACCAAGCCTTTGTACATTTCATTGTAATACTACGTCACTTTGAGTTGTGAAGTTTTCTGTTCAGCTCTTGGACTTCATCATTCCTTCTACTTGCTTCAGCTACTGACAATATCCAGCTGCTTTTCATAAATGTTTCAGTAGATAATCTGTCAGAAGTTAAAAGACAATTCCTTTTCCATAGTCTGTTCTCATTCTGTCAACTTTCCTGAAACCTATCCACTGTGCTGCTATTTGAGATACGGCAGACATCAAATTGTATGAATTGCATTTATTAAAGGAAGTATTAATAACATTAAAAGTAATGAATCTATTTCCCTGTATCAATATTAATACTGACCAGGATATATTTTGAATTAAGAAAAGCAACACGAATCATCTGCTTACTAACATGAAAACAAGAGCAAACACTGTTATCCAGTCGATGCTGACTCAGAGAAACTCAACAGGACTGAATAGAATCACCCCTCTGGCTTTCTGGGAATGTCACTTCAAGGAAATAGAAAGCCTCCTCTTTCTCCTACAAAGTGGAAGAGTTGATGGTTTGGAATTGCTGATGCTGTATAGCAGTATAACAATTCACTCACTAAACCACCAGGCCTCTATTTGTATAATATAAGGAAATAGACACACATAGAGGTATCCACATTTTATAAAATTGCTATAAAAGACCTAATAAACGCAAAAGTCAATGTGATTAACTAGAAAGGAAATAAATTAGGAAAACTAGAAAGGTCATAGAAAAGTTTAATTTTCATATAGTTATGCAATTATATATGTTTTCTTTGTAAAATAAAATTTAAGTTAAATGTGTATCAAGCAAGTAATATTTTAAAAACAGAAAACACAAGCCACTTTTTATTATATTTATACTGTAGCCATAAATATAAAATTAAGTGCAATTACTTATGAAAAATAGTACGCTGTGTATACAAATTTAGTGGAATGTATTTTAAAGAAAGATTACTGTAATCTTAAACTTTGTTAGTGATAGAAGTACCTATAACTTGGTTATTGGTAGAAATAATGACAAAATTAATACTTTCTATTAAAAATTATAGAGTAGTGAAAAGAGGAAAACTCTCAAGGAGATGTATTGATATAGCATTGCAACTACGGGCTCAAAAATAGCACTTAAGCGGATGGAACAAGACTGGGAAATTTTCCACTCTGTTGTACATAAGGGCATTCTGAGTTATAACTGCCTCGATGGTGCCTCACAACAATAACAAAAATGTAAACAAGTGCAATTAAGTAAAATAGTGCCATTTTGGTGAAGTAGAATCTTCATTATCAGAAAAAAAAATTAATACATAGAATGCAAGATGAAATAGAGAGTATGTTGAGGTATTTTACTGATTTTTTAAAAATTTATATGAACTCTTTAGCATTTAAAATTCCTAATTCATGCATGTATAATTTAAATTAAAATAATGAATTTGAAAAAATATATAAAGTCACAGAAAGTGAACAACCTGCTCAAAGGTAAAATTAGCAGCTACAGGTTAAAATGAGGCTAAAATTTTACTCAACGAGTAGCAACAAAATTTTTCATGTGCATAATAGTATTTTTATCAATACTCATGAAAGCAATATTCCATGAAATATGTGTAAAAGTTAACCAGTCTATCAGAAAATTAAAATGCATTAGAAATTGATGTAAAACATGCATTTTGTGAATGAATAATTCATAACAGTAAAATAACATAATAACATCAATTATTTCTTGAATTTTATTCTGGAAATTCAGTTCTATAACAAATATGTTTAATTATAACTTAGACCTCTTTATAACATACAATTTCAATATTATTTAAACTTGAATTTAGTACTTTTATTAACAAATTTCATTTGGAGTGAAGTGTCAGTGCTAGGTTAATAATAGTTTGACTTGTCAAAAAGTGAAGCATATTCCCATTAGCAGCCTAATTACAGTATTTATCCTCATGGGTAAAGTGAGTTAAATATAAGATAAAGTAAAATTCAATGTGAAGTCCATATAAAATGAGGAATTCAGTTTTCTGTACTGATGCAATTTTACTTCCTGGATCATTATACTTTAATCTTATTGAAATTTTATATTGGTAATTAAATCTTTGTAATTATATACTGAAAAAGAAATGAAATAATGCGCTATATTCTGAACTTTCTAAGTTGATATAAGTAATTGTACATCTATTAATGTTTATACATTGTTAAATGTATTACCTTTATAAAATTAATGAAAATAAACACTAAAGTCTCTGATTATAATAAAAGTTTAATTCAACATGTATTTTTAATGCCCTCAGATATTTGGATTTGAATTTACAGCAAGTGAGAAAATTTCACTTAATAGTGATTTTTCTGATACTCGAATATATGAACTATAGCTCCATTGTTTTATAAAGAAAGATTATTGTCTTTGACAGCAAATTATTAAGAACATTTTGGTCACTATTATTTTTTATTAGATGGGATTTTATTTGATTTGGTTTAAAAGGAGGAGTCTTGTTAATATAAATGCATGTCCCCTTATAAATAATTTCTGCATTGTATTTAACAATATCATAATTTAAGGAAAATGCATCCTTGTTTTTGAAAGAACATATGCTATTTGTGTATCCTGATGATGAGCCAGTTAAGTCTTTTCAGGGGAAGATTATAATTTGTATCTTTTATGTTTTATTTTGTTGCTGTTGTTTGTTTTCACAAATTATATTAGTAAGTGAAGACATAAAATAGGTCTTTAATATTTATTGTCTCAAAATTTTATTTCTTGTAACAATTGCGTGTTGAATTTTAAACTACTATTTTCTTTTAAAAGTATTGATACATAAACATCTAAAAAACTTGAAATGTCATTGCTCTATAGATTCTTGAGCATATGAAGATTTGAAATGGATAATGTAGACATTATTGGTTTGCTTCAATTTTGCTTTTTGAACGACTATTGCTATCTAAGCACCAGGTGCTTTATGGCCTTAATTTCATCAGCTGGAGTTGTTGGGGTTTTTTCCCCCTTCAGTCCTGAGCTGGTGTGCATGATGAAAGAATAGTAACATCTCCCTAATATCTTGAGGATTTATTTTTTAAATATTTCTGGGTAGCAAAAGATAGTGACAAACAATGTTTATATTCAGTAAATAAAAAATAAAGTAAAATTTTCATTGTGTATATTGCAAATGTTACCTGAGACAAAAACAAAACAAAACATAATATCACTGCCAATCAAGTGAAATAAGTGATGGAGAACATGTAATAGAAAATGATTCCTTACATTGAATTCTTTTTTTGTGTTTAAGCTTTCTTTTTTTTTTTTTTAAAGACCTTAAGTTTTCTTTAGTGTGGTCGTAATATTAAAAAAAAAGAATTTTTAAGTGACCTACAATATTCATAGAGGTACTGATCTTCAGATATTTAATTAAATTAGTCTTTTTGTAAGCATTCCTAAACTTTGTGAGCAGTTTATAACTTTGGACTATAATGTATATTTTAAATAATTTGAAAATTAACTATGAATAAATAACCATGGAAATAACCAAAAATGTTTAGCATACATCATTTTTTAAAAACTTATATCCCTTGAGTTATCTTAGACAAAGAGTCAAGAAAGTAAATTTAAGAGTAAGGGTGTTGAATATATGTGCATGTTTGTTTTTGTGTGGGTCCTCTGTGGATATTATCCACAAGGTTTCATTTATATTCTACAGTTTAAATTTAATTAGGTGAAAAATAGGGAATATTCACATATAAGTGATTATGACTTTGAAGATATATATTCTGATTTATTCCTTGCTTTAAGAAGTATTTTGTAGAACAAAATTCAATAATTCCTTCATTTGTCATTTATTATCCACTTTATATCCTGTGTCTGATGGTGACTAACAGCTTTTTATAATTATTTATATCAAGGAATAATATACAGGTAGTACCATTAAGATACTTAATATTAAAATAGCATATCAAACTATAGAGATAAAATGGGGGAGACTAAAGTACAAGTTTAATTAGGGGTAATATATTATTACTAAGGTTCACCGAGTTGTAAAATTCCAAATATTGCTGAAGGGCTATCAAAGCAAAGTTTTATTAAGAGCGTGACATTTTAAATAAAGCCCTAATTTCGGAGAATTTTTTTGTTTTTATTCTCATTGAGGAAATATGGATGAAAATTCCAAGTAATTTAAACATGAGGGAAACTTTACTGCGGTAACTGAACAATAAGGTCAGCAGTTCAAATCCACCAGCTGCTGTGCAGGAGAAAGATGGGGTTTTCTACTCCCGTGATGAGTTAGTCTTGGAAACTCACAGGAACCATTCTCACCAGTCCTTTAGGGCCACTATGAGTCAGCATCACCTCAAAAGCAGTGAGTGTGTTTTTGGGTTTGACACTAATTCACAGTACTCCTTGGGTGGTAAAAATAGGTAAGCTCTGAGTTACTAAAAGAAAGGAGCATCAGTCTGCATGCTAAAGGCAACAACCACGAAGACACAATGGATGACAGTTCTACTCTGAAACAAAAGGGGGCTCTATGAGTTCAGAAAGAGTTGATGAAAACTGGTATTTGGATATCCTTATTCATAATACTAACTATATACATTTTCCAAAGCTTTGATCCTAATCATTACGTGTGTGGTGGTTTCATTCTGTCCAGGGGATGGATGTCTACAACCTAACTACCATCACAGAGTTCATCCTAATGGGACTCTCGGACCTCCCTGAAGTGCGCTATCCTCTCTTTGTGGTACTTGCTTTTATCTATCTAATCACTTTGATGGGAAATTGGGCCATTCTCCTTGCCATTGGAACTGAGAAAAAACTACACACACCCATGTATTATTTTTTGGCAAATTTGTCTCTCTTAGACATTTTCTGTCCATCAGCTACTGTCCCAAAGATACTCAAGAACCTCTTGGCTGAGAGACAGAACATTTCTTTCGTCGGGTGTGTTCTGCAGCTCTTTTTCTTAGTGGCCCTGATAGGGAATGAAGTTTTTCTTCTCTCTGCCATGGCTTATGACAGGTACGTGGCTATCTGTTTCCCTCTTCGTTACAGTCTCATAATGACAAACGGGCGCTGTGTCCAGCTCATGGCCAGTGCCTGGGCAACCGGGTTTCTGAACTCCCTTCTGCATACCGTGTTTACATTCCGCCTGTCTTTCTGTAAGTCTAATCGTGTCAACCAATATTACTGTGACATCCCTCCAGTGGTGGCGCTCTCCTGTTCTTCCACCTATATGGCAGAAATGCTTGTCTTGGTGGTAGGAGGTATCTTGGGAATCAGTGCTTTCTTGATCACTGGTATCTCTTATGTCTATATTGTCTCCACTATCCTGAAGATCCGGTCAGCAGAAGGGAAGCGCAAAGCCTTCTCCACCTGTGCTTCCCATCTCCTGGTGGTTGGTTTGTTCTATGGGACAACGATATTTACCTACATCCGCCCTTCCTCTAGTCAACACTCTCCATCCAGAGACAGGCTCATCTCCATGTTGAATGGGGTCATTACGCCGATGTTAAACCCCATCATCTACAGCCTGAGAAACACGGAAGTAAAAGGGGCTCTAAGGAAGGTTTTATGCCACAAGATGTGTTCAGAACAATAATGATACCGAGAAAATATTACGCAATGAGCACCCCCACTTAGACTCAGTTCAGAGAAATGATTGAAATAATTCCTACATATTCACAGGAATTTATAAATACAAACATATGTCTATATTAATCCTTACCTATACATCTACATTTATGGTTATACACTGGTAATATAAAATTTACCATGAAATAGCCATGTTTGAGTTAGTAGGAACTGTTAATTATTGTAATGGAATAGGAGATATACATTGTCTCAAGTAAATTTGGATCTATGGCCAGGTTTTATACCTATAACCTATGTATTCCTATATATACTCGTGACATACGTTTTATTCACTTTTATTTCTATTTCTATATTTGTGTGTAATTTTTTATGCATCCTTTTTCTTTTCTTCTCCCATCTAGTTGATTACTTTATTTTGCTTTCGGTCCTTATTTAACTTCTGAGCACCATTACTTTGCTCTTCTTTTCCAAGTTTGCCAGTTATTGTAGATTCCTCTCTTTCGTTTTTGAAAAAGGAAATCATTTTATTGGGAGCTCTTACAGATATCATAACATTCCATAGTTCAATCACATCAGGTAGTGTTGTACAATTGCTACCACAATCAGTTTCAAAGCATTTTCTTTTTTTTTGAACTCCTTCATATCAGCTCCCCTGTATTCCCTCCCTCACTGACCATACCCCCCAGGAAACCTTATTCCTTCTTTTCCCATAGGATTTTTTTTGGTCATATCTTATATGATCCAATATATCCATTCATATACACTTCTGTTGTTCAATCCCACCAAGGGGGTTTACGCAGACATCAATGCTTCCAGCTTCCCATTATCCCCCTTCCACCCCCACCCTCCACTCTTCCTGTACCCTCAGGGGCCCAATACTCCTGTAACTTTTTCTTTTTTAAAAAAAGTTAATAAATCATTTTATTGGGGACTCTTACAGCTGTTATGACAATTCAAACATCAGTTGGATCAACTGCTTCTCCTCTGGATAGGCGACTGTATCCATTTTCAGCTTCACCTGTCCTTCCGAGTGGCTGGCTTTTCTGCATTTATATAAATACATATCAAATTTGGTTATTATACCATTATCATCCTAACTGCAATATGTTCAAAAATACATAAATCATCTTCACATACATTTACATACCAATATTCTCATTAGTTACTCAGGATTTTAATTTTTTTAAATAATATTCTCCAACCTATCCAAATTGAAACACCTTAGAGGTAAGCATTTCCATTACATGTTAGCAATAAGCTGCTATTGCTGACGATGGATAACTGCGCATTCTCACTTTGTCTCTGCTCTGTCCCCTGTGTGATTAGGACCATCTTCTCCTGGCCACTATTTCTGTGATGTACCATGTTAAATTAGCAATAATATATATTTTTCTCAATCGTTTGCCCAAAACCTTTTCATTTTGCTTACTCCCTCCCCAAATAGTCCTCAGACTACTTGTGAATTTGAATATGTTCTGTAATCAAAAGCAATATCTGGCTCTTTCTTTACATCTGTTTCTTATAGCTCAGCATTCATGATCATGTCTGCTTTATTCTTTGTTTCCTTTATGTTTAAGTGAAGTGACTAAATCCCCATTAAAGTGTTCTTGTCTTATTCTTTTAATCTATGGACTTTCAATAATAAATTAATGTATTATTTATTAAATTATTTAGCTATTTTCCCATATATGACATGTAATTTTATGCTATTTTATTTTTTATAGCTAGGAATTGTAAGTGCTTTAGATGTAATATTTTAGATAAATTATATTTCTTCAGATTCAACAATGTCCCAGTTTCCCCCCGATATATTCAATAATATTCGAGGGTATTCATACTTTTGTTTGATCAATATACCTCCGATTTGAACTTCAGATACAGTGGGAAAATCCATCTGTAGTTGAAGGAGTAATAGTACATATTTGAAATTTGATTTTTCAGGGATTTAAGCCAGTTAATTTTAGTTTGATATCCCTATTGAAAATTTGCATTTCCACTCTAGATATTCTGAATCAGAGTCTGCATTGCAGCACAACCCTCCAGTGTTCCTTGTATATCTACAGGAGATTCCTATGCATGCAGAAAAATGACTCAGGGTTCTATTATAATGGTGATTCTGATTTAATATATCTAGAAAAGAAAGGTAATTTAGCAGCAGTAAGGCAAACAAGAATGAAATGACTAGAAGTCCCATTTGTGTGTGTGTGTTTCCTATAATTTTTTTTGTAGCACAGGTTAGCATGTGATATGAAAAAATTCAAGTAACATAAAATGCAAGGAATGTTTTAAAATGTATGTCATTTGTTAAATGTAATCTTAAAATTGAACAAAAGTTTTAAATATCATATTAGATATTTAATGTTTGAATGAATTTTCTTCTCTTAAAATGCTTATGATGTTTGTCTTCCATCTGTGTCTCACAAACCACTATAAATTCTAAATCACCTCCTGTTATCTGCAGTGTGTTTTTCACACTTTAAGCCTCTGATAAAAATTGGTAATGTTTTTGGAAATCGTTTCCTTTTTTAATTTATAGATTTTGATGTGAAGCACAATGATTAAGAGCAAACTGAAAAGTCAGTCTTCCAACTGAGCCAGCAGTTCCATGGTGGCAGGGTGCGGTCAGAGGAGGTGATCTGCTCTCTTCAAGATTAGAGCCTAGAAACCTCTAGAGGGCAGTTATACTGGTATGAATTGGAGTCAATATGACTCCACAAAACAGCACAAGGTACATTCAATGAATTGTGTTTGCTTGTTTGTTTTTATAGAATAATAAAATTGATGAAACCATAGTGAGTCGAGTGTCTATTTGATATATAACTAATTTGTGCCCTACATGATTTGCTGCCTCCGCATTTATTAATTCTCCTCAGGTGCTCTTCAAGCCGGTTTCTGAATAGCCTCTCCATCTTGTCACGTAGTTTCACAAAGACTTTTTTTCTCCAAGTGGCCCCTCTGGCTATGCCTTGTAAAGTTCTCCGTGATATTTAAACAAACATTTAAAACAACAACACAATTACTGTCTTGTAACCGATTCTCTCAATTGCAATAGAAAGGCACTAGGAACTTTTAAACTGACCAATAAATCTTCAGCGATGCTAACCCACAGACTCATTGTTTCCCATGCACAGGCTTTCTTGTACAGTTTGAACATTTTAGCTCTTTTTTTCTTGGATACACTTTCTATTGTGGCCCCACTGGGGGATCATGCTTTGGTTTCCTGTCTGAGACCTAGGAACTGTATACACATTTTAGTTGCTCTCTGGAATTTCTGCATAAATATCACTTCTTGTAACGCTTGATGGATCATTCAAGACATCTATAGAGTGTCTTTAGGTCAAACTTAAAACACTTTGCAGTGAGGATAAGGCTGTCTTTTTAAGTTCAGGTGAATCTCAGGAATGCTGCTGTACTGCTTCTAGCTCAGCAATGAGCTCTTCTAGATAGACAATACTACCTGGAAGCCTTCTTTATTTCTCTTGCAATATTTGATTTGATGCTTGCTGCTCTGTCTCATTTCTTTTAAATGGTGCTAATGCTCCCATCATTATGTGGAATTACCCAAATCCTAATCCTTGTTTATAGTTGACTTTTATATTTGTTTCACAAGCAATGGAAGCAGGTAACAAAGGTATGATAATGCTTAAGCAAAAAAAATGGGTTATGGAAATACATATAATATTTCACTTATGATTGTTTTTGTTGTCAGGAAGTGCATCATGAAATCCTATCTTATTAACAAATATTTTGCTCTCAGAAATTACCCATTCACTAAGATTGAGTCCATTGCAATGCTACAGTGTAGGATGAAATTGTCCCTGTGGGTTTCTGAGACTGTGGCTTTAAAAAAAATTACTGGGAGTTAATATGTATATCATTCCATAGTTGAATCACATCAAACAGTATTCTACATTTGTTACCACCATCAGTTTCAAAACATTCTTTTCCTTCCTGGACTTTTTGACATCGGTTCCTCTTTACCTGCCCCCTCCTATTGCCCCCCCCCCAAAAAAATCCTTATTTATTCTACTTTTTGTCCCTATAGGTTCATCAATCATTGGTTTGGCTTCACGTACTGAAAACAGAAAATTATATATTACAAATTTAAGAGGATGACCCCCCATGACATGGAGGTTATCTGAGATGACCTGTATGAACAAACTAAAAACACACGTATTCAGAAAATGGTGAAAACCAGATCAAGTCTAATGTGCATCACAGCTGGGATCGCCTGACATCTGGGTTTATCCTTTTGAAATTCTAGAGTCATCTTTCCAATTCACTCTGTTTGGTAATCACTTTCCTCCCATCCCTCTATTATGGAGACAGGGAGTTCCCCAGAGGCCTATTTCCTATGTAGTTCCCACAAATGTATCTGGGGCTCCCACTGTCATTCATAGCCTTCTGCAAACCCGATTCTCATACTTCAGGCTCTGAGACTAATCCCTCTTTTGACTTTGGATTATATGGTTAACAATCCTTCAGTGATTGATTTTGGTGTGCTTTTTTCTTATGGACTTAGATGACATCTCATTTAGAGGACTGCTTGTTTGGAGACAAGTCTTTACAGGGAACAGAAAGCTTCGCTTCACTTCTTCCTTTGAGTGGTTTGTGGTTTCAAACTGCTGACCTTACAGTTAGAAGCACAAATTCTAAGTCACTATCCCATCAAGACTCCTTATTCAGCAATTTCTTATGTTCTCAGAAAGTACATATATAAGACCATGTATTGCTGGAGA